TGCCCTTTGAACGGCCAGACGGTACCACTCGCCCATTGCCCACGAGATGATGCCAATGTTGTGATGCATGGACCTGTTGCAGTCCCCATTGCATATCTTGTCAACAAATGCGCCCAGCTCAGGACGCGCCGAAGGTTCCAAGGCAGGAATCTTCAGTGCAAGAATGTTCAAATTCATTGCGTTGACCACCATGTCCACTCTGGCCGTGAAAAGACCCGGGACATCGCGAGATCGTAGCGTGATTTGTCGCCGCTGTCGTATCGGTTGATTCGGTACGGCGGGCAAGACCGACACTTGTGAGGTAGCTGAGAAGGGGCTGAACAGTTGTAGGAATGGCAATTCGTCTTCGGCAGACATTTGCACAGGGTGATGAGACTTGATGTCTTGTTCCTCGCCGCCCGAGTCTCCTTGCTGAGGTATTAGTTTTGACGGTCCGAACGGCAAGATGCCCATGGGTTTCAACGCCGCTTGCGCCATCTGGTGTGCTAGCCCTGGACTGGGGGCTGTCCCTGTCGCAACGAGTGTTTTCTGAACTAGATTCAACACATCCTCCACATTGTCGGGAGCCACGATCCGCCCAGCTCTCTGCATTGCTCGAATGCGCTCATTTTCGCGTGCTGCCAGGTCCATTTCTCTCCGGAGAGACGCTAGCTCTCTCCGCAGCCTGTCCCTCTCCTTTATCCTGCTGGCATTTTTGTTGAACGCTGGCACCCGCCGGGCAGCACTCGTGTTCGCATTTAGTTCCAGGTCTTGTAGGGGCCGGCCGGTGCCTCGGGCACGAGCGTAGGGACTCTGGCTTTGCGAGGGACCACGTGCCCTCGGAGTCCTCGATGGACTGTCAATCCGTGGTTTTAGCGGCGAGCTCTTCATCGGTGAGTTCCTCTTCTGTTTGTCTCGGTCTCTCCATCTAGGACTGCTGTGGATGCCTCGCGGTGGTGTGGACGAGACCGGATCAGAGACAGCTGGTGGGAGCTCGGGTTCCGGGGGAGGGGGTATGGGCACCCCGGTATTGCGTGTGACTCGTCGTGTCCGCGCCAGAAAGGTATTCAGCTCGTCATCCCCCTCGGGAGCTGGCGGGGGAAGTGGTCGCGGACTTGGTCTAACCGGAGTTCTTCGTGGTGGGCTGCCCGGACCGGAGTCGGACGACGCTTCGGCTGGCGGGAGCGTGTCTCTAGATCGAGCAGACGCGTCGCGCGTGAGGCCAGCTGGTGCTTGAGAGGACAATTGAGCTGGTCGTGGGACTGCCTGCGAGCCGAAGAGTTGTTGCGCGCTGCGAACAGGGCCCAGTGTAGGTCGAATCGAGGCGGGATCGGTGGTCTTGGAGGGAGACGCTGATGCCGAGCGGCGTCGTGCAAGAATTTGCGGGTTGTAGCGTGCAAGACTTGCTCTAGTGGGCGATGCAAAGGATGGTCGGATAATACGGCGGGTGGGAGATTGTGACTGTGACTGTGACTGTGAGGATGGTGGGTTGTTGGGGTTGTTGACCGTTGTTGTTGTTGTTAGGTTTGTATTTGGATCTGGTGCAGGTGCAGGTGCAGGTGCAGGTGGTGCGTCGGGGTCTGGAGAAACGCGTCGTCGCTTTGGCGCCGACTCTTCCATGCTGATGTCTAGACGATGGGGCAATCAATCACCTGCGGGATAACAACATGATGATGCCCGTGCGGAGCGTCAAACACGTGCACGATGGTGCGACTAGGTCATTGTCGCCATCATAGGGATTTTCACGTCGTCAAGGGCTGGGCCTGAGTGAAGGGGACTAAAGATTTGGCCCGGAGCTGAGCTGAGCGCGTTCCTTCCTAACAAAAGCCATCGGCCTTGCTTTGCGCTGGTGTCAACAACCCGGCCGGGACCAGGTGGGGCCGGCTCGACGTGGAGCGCGGAACGTGGAACGTGGAACGTGGAACATGGAAGGGTCTCGACTTTGCGACCAACAGCAAGAGGAGCGACCAAAAGTGGCGAAAACAGCGATTTGTTGGAGTTGAAATCCATGGGGAACCGCGAATGGAGGCGTCGTCAGTGTTTCAATACCACAGCACTTGCGCTGACCCTGTGAAGAAGACTTACCGTTTCGTGCCAGGCATCTTTGACGTCGACTTTCCATGAAGCGCAGTGATGATGAGTGGCAGCGCCCCGTTGTTGACGCTCCCACCCCACAGGGCGCCATCACGTGCGAAACGCCCCGAAATCCATCAGCTTATTTGTCAGCAACTATCATGACAATCTTGCCGCCGAAGTTCGTCGTATCATCTCCGCCCCTCCCAACAAAATCAAGTTCAGATCAATCAACCAGCCCTCTCATTATCTGGACATGGCAAACTCATAGACCCGGCCCACAATGTCCGCGCCCGCAAGATTGGCCACCTCACAGCTCCTCCGTCTTCTTCCACGCCCATCAGCCTCGGCCCGAACATTCACAACCTCGAGGTCGACCTCCAGAGAGGAGCAATGGCCGCAGCGATCACCCCTCGGGGACTATTACACCAGCATTCTGCGCGATCCTGTTCCATATTCCCATTCCCGCGCTCATCAGCCCGAGGAGCCACCACCTGGTGCCGCCGACGACCAGAGTGCGCGACCGGCGCACAAGAGACGTGAAACCTCTGGGGAAACCGGACCCGCGTCAAGCAACAACGAGACGGCTCTACCGAGCAAAGGCACTACAGCTGCTGCGACTGCCACATCTTCGTTTCTGTCCGCGCGAGAACCCACGCCACGAGAAAAGGCGCGCATCATTTTCGGATCACGACTGCTCGGGCCGGCCGAACAAGCAGACAGGTTGGCATTGAAGCAGGCGAGGTCTACGTACGTGGCAGGGGTTCTGGTCCCGCCCCGGCCGGAGGAGCCTGACAACTGCTGCATGAGCGGATGCGTCAATTGCGTTTGGGACCGGTTCCGAGAGGACATGGAGGAATGGTCCGCCAAGAAGAACGAGGCGCAGGCGCGATTGAAGGCCGGCTCGGGGACCGTGGACAGTGACGGCGGTGGCTCCGAGACGAACTGGACGGTACCGGTTGGTAATGATACGATCGCAAAGGACATGTGGGATGACGAGGTGTACCAGGGCGTGCCCGTGGGCATCAGAGAGTTTATGAAGCAGGAAAAGAGGCTGAAAGAAAAGCATGCGCGGGAGGGAACTGTGGGCGGTTGATGACCTAAATTTGGCTCCTCGGGACTACCTAACCATTTTCATTCTCTCTTTCGTTATCCGCTAGAGGACTTGCACAACACGGCGTTTGACAGCAGTCATGATGGATATATTAGACAAGCATTGGGGTTTAGGGTGCACCGCACGGGCAAGGATTTGAGCACGGACTATATACATGGTGTTTTTTTTTTTTGGGCTGAACTCGGACGCATCTTGAAACTCAGCCTGCTATTCTATGCTCATCAATTCATTATTCTTTTTCTCTCAAGCCTTCTTGCCCTCTGCGCTCAACCGGTCATGCTCAGCAATGTCGAGCGCCTCCCAAGGGTAGTTGATCCAGACGTCGCCAGTAGTAACCGCAGCTTCGTAGCGCTTGGCCAGCATGTCGTCGGGCAAGATGCCATCCTTCTTTCTGTCCTTGTTCTGCATGTCGCAAAATTCCGGTCAGTCTCGGTATGAATAATGATATTAAAAAAAAAATTGAAGCGCACCCTTTGCTTGCATGGGCTGGAAAAATGACGTACGTGCAGAACAAAGATGTAGAACTCAGTCTTGGGCAGATTGTCGGCCATTCCCTTGCTGATGGCCTCCTGGCGGGCAGCCTCGACATCCTTCTCGAGCTCCTTGACAGCGTAGGCAAGTGTAGTTCGGGAGTCGTCGACCTCGTCAACAATGAGGATGCGCTTGCCGATGAGGTTCTTCATGGTACCCAGGGAGGTGAAGTCCAGCCATTGGGTGCGCTTGACCTCCTTGCCAATCTTTTCGACCTCGGTGTCATCGCCGAGTGACTCATAGAGAGACAGGCCGATAGCCTGGATGGGGATGTTGGGAGAGCCGTCTTTTCGAAGGAAAGATCGCAGGATGCGGGCAGGGATGAAGCCGCCGCCGCCGATGGCGATAATGAGCTGAGGTTTGAACTCGGTCAGAAGACGGCCGGCCGACTTGCGGCACAGCTCGTGAACCTGGAGCGTCATGGCAAAAGCATGGTTAGTCAAGAGTTCCGCGTATAGATTGCTCAAGTCTCTTTGCGCAACAATGCCCCATGCTGCCTCTTGTCGAGGGGGGGGGGGGAACGTCGCAACGGTCTGCTACACACCTCATTATATGTGACGTAGATCTTCTCAGTCATCGCGAAGGCTGATCCGGCGAGCGATTTGCTCAAAGGTCAAAGGAAGGGAGTGAGTGCGGGCGGGAAAAAAAGTCGGATGGGGGGTTATCACGGCCAGGCTTGAACTAGGCCGGATTGCAAAGATATAACACACGAGATTAACAGATGGACCAGTTCGGTTGGAGCAGGTGAGGCGACGTGCCCGAGGAGCAGAAAGGGAAGGCAAAGAAGGGAACAAGGGAAGGCAACGTTGGTGATGTCGTGTGCCTCAAGAATTTTCTATGAGACTCACTCCGGCGCCGGCTTGGGGCTTTTCGCACATCAAACACAACCTTAACGGCGCTAGAAGGTTACGAGACTTGGTGGACCCCAGACGGATTTTTTCTTTCTTAAAAGAACAATACGCTTTCCACTTTTGTGTGAGTGCCCTGCTGGAGCAAGCATATGCTGTGCTATGACTCATCAGGCTGATTCAGTAATAAACAGAACAAGGATATTCAGTCTGCAGCACAATTTGACGCTGAATACAGACGTACGCCGTAGTTCTAGAAGTTCTTCGTCCATGGCATAAAAGCCCCACCAATCACTTCCGAACCTGCAACACCAAATATTAAGAGCCCAAGGGGAAAAAAAAAAGAAGTACGTCACGCAGGGCTTGACTTGATTGATCATCGTGGTCAAAAAGAAAGAACTTCATGTGCATGTCCTCAGCATTGGTAAAAAGAACTGGGTGCAAAATGTTACAGTTGACAGAACGGGGATTCGAACCCCGGCCACTTTCGTGAACGGAACACTCCCTTGCGGAGCGAAACACCATATTCCATGTGCTTGAGACCGTCGCCATAGACCACTCGGCCATTCTGCCTTGATGCTTCATGGGGATGCCGCTAATGCGTTACATGAAGTAATGCACAGCCTTCCTGCATCAATCCTACCGTCCTCAACCTCTACTGGGAGAAACCTCTCCTTTACAAGTCAGAATCAAGCTGCTGGATTAGAAGTATGACGGCAGCACCGAAGATTCTAGCCGTCAGATCAGAACTCTTGACCGTGACGTAAGGATTGATCAACATCGTAGCAGGACACAACAACAAAGTAGGTAGTTCAACAACTGCATGCTAGGAAGACCCATCTCGAAGCCGTCGGCACTCGAGGGACGACAATGGGAAAGCACTGCAACCCGTAAGCCTGTGCCTTTGACGAGGAATCTTGGCGGAGAATGAGAAACACCGGAGAGTGACTGAGTTGGCAAAGGAACATGGTTTACGAGGGCTGATCTACAATCCATGGTCAAAACACAACTCGTACCGTGCTGGTTGGTGTCAAGTCACGCATCTCCCACACCAACCAACACATATCTACACATCTACAACTCCAACCACACCAACCACCCATCATCTCTCGTCCCCCCAACTCAATCGAGCCCACCACATCAGCGCTCCCCTCGCGAACCCGCCCACCACCACCCCCAGCATCAACCCCCCAGCACCAACAGCACTCCCAATCACCAGCCGATCGCCCTGCCCAAAAGCCCACCAAGCCAAGCACCCAACCGCGATGCCAGTCGAGCACAGCACCACGGCCTGCGCGCTTAGATACCCCAGATCAGTCAGCGGCCTCGCCTCGCCCACCAGGAGCACGACCAGACACCCAACACATGTCGATCCAACAAGGGGCTGAAAATACGTCCACAACCTATTACGACAAGCCAAGTCGCCAGACCACAAGGTATAAGTCTCCGTTGAAATTCCCACCCTTCAGCAAGAAAGGAAATAAACATTACCTCGTCCAGAAAGCAGACTCCCCGCCCCGCCACACCCAGATACCACCAAACAGGCAGACCACACCCAGGAAAACCAGGCTCTCCACCGCAAGCACAACGGCGTGCATGCTCCGCGAGAACGACGAGTCCCCGCACCCGCACCCACAACAAGCCTGGGCCTCTCGGGAACGCGGCAGGCTCTCCTCCCGGCTAGAGTTGCTTCTCCACGGGGGGAACGGCGTCAGAGGCTCCCTCCGGACAGTGACTTGCGAGACCAACGACCCCGACTCCCTGCCCCCGTCCTCGTCCTCGTCCTCGGTCGCGGCGAAGCGGAGGAGGTCCGGAGAGGACGGCGACTTGAAGACCCGCGCGGCGGCAGGAGGAGGGTCCGAACGCCAGGGGGTCGCGTTCGCCAACGTGGGCGGCGGCGTACTGTGGGGGGCGAGACATGTTCGTGGGGAGAACGGCGCGCTGGTAGATGCGGGACGGGAATGGGAGGAATATCGACGGGGTTGGTTGGACAAAAGGGGTGTGAGAGCGCCTTGCTGCTGACTTTGGGGCCTGGGGAGGCAGAATGCCTCGTTAGGTGTGTCTTCCATGGTTGGTCCACCGTCAGTTTGTGTTGTCATCGTTCGGGTAGGAGGGGGGGAAGCGAGGGAGTAATTATAAAGTCGTTGGTAGATGAGAATGGCTGATTCACGTCGAGAACGAGAAGACGAGATAGAGCCTCCGGTATCTGACAGAGGAGCCTTTGAAGAAGAAGACAAGAAGACAACTTTCTCGTCGGGCACGAGGAGAGAGTTCCACACAATCAAATCAGACTTGCGGCTGGCTGAACTCGTCAGCTATTGTTGATTCGTGATTCATAGCCCATTCGAATACTCCCTCGATTCACAATGTGCTCAGTTTTCTCGCGGCCCAAATTCCCGTGTTTCACCGTGTACATTTTCATATGGCATTACAGATGCAGCATTACTGAGTATCGCTATACATGCCCGCTCATCACTCCAGGTTCATCCGCGCATCGTCTCCTATCCCCCATCGGCCTCCATCCTTGCCTTCTTGCTGCAGCTCCAGCTCCGTTTCCAAGTCCAACCCGGTAGCATCATCGTCAGGCGCCGCTTCACCGGGGGAAGACTTTGGTTGTTCCTTTTCTGCAGACGTGGGAGGCTTATCGGCTGCCCTTCGCCTCAGTGACGGCCAAAAGGATGATTTGGACGATGTGGAGAGGATCGAGGCTCCGTCGTCATCGGTAGCCGGGGGGTCGCTGGGGGCCGTAATATCGGGCTCGCCGCGCGTGGGCACCATTTTTTCGCCTGCAGTGGAATAATACGTTCTCTCGTGGGCCGTCTCGGATGACTTGGGTGATCCGTTTTCTCCGGGTTGCGGCAGGTCCAATTCGTCAACTTCCACGAGCTCAGCATCGCGATACCACTTTCTCCGTCTTGTCCATTTCGCCCAGCCATCTTGGCCGCGCCGACCGTGTTGCCACTAGTTTCGTTTGTTAGTCAGTGGTGATCCGTAAGCCCAACCTTGTTGACATGGAACCACCCCCCCCCCCCCGGCTCACCTTGTTGTCGTAATAGATCCACCCATTCCTGCCTTCCTCGCCATCATGATCAACGGGTTCCTTGTCATCGGCAACTCCATCCACCCTCCATCGGCTGCCTTCTACCCACTGCCAGCGCATTCTGCTGCCGTCTTCAACATTGGGGAGCTCGAAATCGTCCTTTGATGGAACGGGATTATTGTGCTCGTCTGTCCATGCAGGGCGTTCGTATGCAAAGAGACTTGCAGTCCAACCGAGACCAACCCAGCGGCGCTGGTTTTCATAGATGATGAAGGTGAATTTGACTCCTGAGCTTTTGTTCCGGCTCTTTTTATTCCCGGAACAACTGCTGTTGGCCTTGGCCTGTCCCTTGGCAGCCTCTACCGCGAGCCTGTGACCAGACTTGGTCGGACCGTGGAAACGTAAACCAGTAACTGCCGCGGCGGACTTGCGAATGAAAGAGCTCCTCCAAAGCAGAGTCCTCGTAACTCTCATGGGTCGAGCGTGCCACGTCAAGATGATGGTGCCAAACACCAAGACAACGCGCCGAGTAGTAATGACGTGAAACGGCGGCATGGTGAGAGCCAGCCAGAATGGCGTGACAACCAGAAGTCGCACAAACATGGCTGTCAAAGCGGGCTTGGTGGTTGCGCTAGTTGGTGTTCTCTGTGTGCTCAGGAAGTCTGTCATCTCGAGCAGAGGCTCCATCAACACATTGCACCGTCCTGTGAGCACCTTGAGGGTCTCCACAATCTCGTCGAGCGTTTTCTGATGTTTGGTGCTTGTGTTCTCGGAAGACGCCCTTGGGTGTTTATTTGCATTTGCATGGTCACCTTGCGCGTCTGCAGAGGAGGCTGCGCCGGCGTTGGACGACGCATCATTGTGTGGTCGGGCTGGGTCGGCCCAGCCGCTGCTGCTCAAAGGACTATATCTTCGGCCATACATGCCGGCAATAATGGCCATTCCGATTACTACAGGCCCGGCCCTTCGAACCACGACGTCTCCGTAGAGCACGATAAACCAAAAGGCAGAGAGCAGCAGGAAGCTCTGCCATGGATCGCCCGTGCTCCATGTGAGCAACCCAAGGAACTTGTTCAAGGGCAGCAAGAAGGGGTGACTGTAGGCAAGGGCGCGAGTCACTTGCGGCGGTGTCGCGAGCAGCAATGGGCTTTTTAGGTGGACGAGTATGTTGGAACGGCGAGCAGATCTCGTCGTGTTGGCGGACAAGGTGACGGGCGAGAAGCTGGCGTGAGTCGAGGGCGGCCCGGTCGTACCTTGCGACTCGTACGTCGAGGCCGAAGAGGCGTCGTCGCGTGAAGACATGGGTAGATCCAGATGCGATAGCCACGGAGAATCCTACTCATCCACAAATGTTCGAGGTCAGTGGCAGCAAGCTGGCTAGAGAGGGAAAACCAGAAGAGGAGGAGCCCACTGAGGGACCAACGATGGCGCCAAAGGGTTGCGGTGGTGGTGGTGGTGGTGGTGAGGCCGGTCTGCGCTTGCAAGCCGTGAGTGACATCACATGCCGAACCGAATAGGGAAGGGAGTGAGGGTGGGTGACGAGTCTGACGACAACGACCAAGACAGAGCTGCCATGTCTGTCTGCAAATGCAAAATCTGCAAAAGTATCGGTAGGGCCAAGAACGACGCGGGAAAAAAAACAGAACAGAACAGAACAGAACAGAACAGAACAGAACGAGGCCGGCATGGGAGAATGAATACACATCACTCACAATCGCAGCCATGGAGAGCTGTGCTAATCGTGACGGGCCGCGCACGCGCAGTTGGAGCAAAATCACCAACTGGAAGAAGCGTTGTTGTGTGGGTGGCTGACAGACGGGATATGCGCAAACGTGCACTCTTGTTTGTCGACTCAACGTCGATGTCCAGAATGGCCCGGACTGGCCGTCGGGTTATTTCTGGTCCTGATGTAATATTGATAATTGATGTATCGAACGCGCAGCCGAGGCTGAGCATCATGTTCGCCTTCGCATACACGTGAGAGTCCATGACATGATTGGCGGCAGCGCGGGGCGAACGGGCTTCCGGGGCAGACTTGAATTGTACCGAGCACGGACTAGTCCATGTTCATTAATTATTAGCGTTTGTTATTCTGGCCGTGTTACCTAATAAAATAAACTGGTTCAAAAGATACATCTAGTTTCGCCTGGGACCTGATCACCACCATGTCTGGCCGTGGGAAATAAAAGCATTTGACATTGGCAAAATCAACAGGCATGGCATGCTTCTCAAGCTGATACCTATGGCGGCTAATAACATGACGAATACTAGGTGGAACTGCTCACATTGTATGGATTCTACGTACTGTCTACAAAGCTGCTTCACTCAACTGTCGTAGAGTCAGTCAATGTTTAAAGCCAATATATCCTGTGTACAAAGAATTCATCCATCCAGCACACAAAGGAAGGTATATTGAGAGAACGACTGCGTTGACATATCCCCAAGACCCACCCTCACAGCCAGACTGTCTGCGCACACAAAAAATAAGTCCTCGCCTCGTCTTAACCCTAGATTCTCTCTTCAACGCAAGCCG